TGGACAGCTGGATCATTTCAAAATTTAACATATAGAGAATATTATAGGAATATTATACTATTCTATGTGGAGATGTTTTATAGGTATAGAAGATTCAAGTAAGAATCAATAAAAATATTGACTCTCTAATTATGGAGACAAATTAGGAAAGATTTGCTTGAAGAACTATTTTGTAGCAGAAGATTCTGCTGATTTGTAGCAGCTGATATGTTGTGATTTGAAGCCCAAATCTAGTTGGGGAAAAGGTTATAAATAAAATCATCGTAACCTAGAAGAAGGCACCATCTATGAATGAAAAGATGTAGTTATTAGGGATAATTCTGTACCACTCTCTAAGAGAGTTAGTTGTGTATTACACTCGACATGTGAGTTAGAATGTGTTCGTTAAGTTGTAAGGTTTTGTTCTCCTCGAAGCTGTGAAGCAAGAGTAAATATTGTTCTTGGAGGAAGCTTGTAAGAAACTCCAAGTTGTGTTATTAGTCAAGAGTCTTGGCTAAGTATTGTCATGGAAGTGTGCCTTCTTGTTTCGTCATAGAAGTGTGTCTTCCTGTTATTGTTCAATCCCTGTCTCTGATTGATGAGGGATTGAGGAGGGCCTCATACTTAGGTGAGTCTTAGGTAGAAAGTTAGCACGAGTAGTGATTAAGTGAGGAGATCATAAACTGGTATGTTTACTGTAGGGTCTATGAATTGATACTATTATATTGGACTTTATCCCTGACTTGGTATGCCCCCAGAGTAGGAGAGTTGCTCCGAACTGGGTTAACAATTCTCGTGTGTTGTTTACTTTTAAGTACTGCTTTTGTATGTTTATACATTGCCATGTTTGTTTAGATCGAATTCAGATGTCTCAACATGTCATAGCACATCTGAAGTCTGATATACCAGAATTTCACATTTTATCTACGACAAATGACAGACATGTGTTAGTTACCAAGGAAGAATAAGCATACAAACAAGTTAAAATAAAAAATAGCTACCAAAAAGCAATACAACGTCCTTGACAGTATCATACTCGAGGAGCTCCTTAGTGTTGATATATCAAGCTTCATAAATGGGTTGGCCCTGCTCGTCGAGGACATCCTCCCTGTTCTCAGTCTCCCATCGAACAGGAGCTAAATTATCGACGAACTTCACAAGCTTGTCGTAGTCACGTTGGTCCTCGGAGCCCAACTCATTAGGCTTAGTAATATAATAATCCACACTCTCATCAAAGTGGGCACTACGCCAATGAATGGGTAACATCAAGACCATCCTCGTCACCTCATCCTCGTCGTGACACACACTCCAATCTTCTTCAATTACAACTAGACGCTTGAACACGAAAGCGATGACTGCTCATGTTACAGGATTAATTGTATAATACATATCCTTAAAAGTGCGAATGAAGTCCGTAATTATTTTGAACAACTTCTTAGGATGCTTAAGGGACACCAAATTGTGCCCCCCTTCAAAGTTTTCCATTGAAGGTGGAAATAGCGGAATAGTAGAGGAATGGTAGCACCGACCTCAAGATATTAGCACACGATCTTGAATGCCCAAATAAATGCAATTGAGTTCGGATGCAACTGAGAGGGCGTTAACTCCAACCAATCAAAAATGCCCACTTGGAGACTGTTGAATGGCAACCAAAGGCCCAACTCTTTGAAGACATACTCATACATAAAAAAATAGTTCCCCAAGAAACTCGAACAAACCCGTTCCTCCAGCCCATTTTTATAAACCACCCAGTTCTCTGGAGCCTTTGGATAGTCCACACCTTCTTCGACGATCATAAATGCACTCTTCGGAAAGTCAGCAAAATGTGAGGCTATCCCTCAGGGTTTTGGCCCAACCCAATCTAATTCATGATTGCTGATTGTGTCAACCAAGCGATTACCCTCGATGCTACGAGCCATTCAAACCTAAAAAAGCAAAGGACAATAGTGAATTCGACGATCAAATCAAATTCACCCTTCCACTACAAATCAAGTGAAAGAGAAAAGAGAGGCACGAAGACGCTTCCCTCGACCAAAGCCCTTATTCAACGACAAGCAAGGAAATCACGAGGACCTTCTCCTTGACGGAGGTCTCAGTCGAATCACCAACAAAACCACGGGTAGGATCCCCTTAATAGGAAGGCTCGGCGAGCAGTCTTTGCATGGAAGAGCCTCCTCGACATGGAGCTTCATCATAAAACTCATGAGCTTCACCAGGGAAACTTCTATTCGTCTCCCTAACAGTGGCATTAGAGTGGCTATCATAAGAGATAACATGAGAACACTAACTTTCCTACTCAAAAAACACGGTTCTAGCATAGGAACCCTCCGACAACCAGTGTTTGGGAATGGCCAAACCACCGCCAAACACCAACATCCACCAGAACCGAACACAAAAAGAAGGCAAATCAATATTCTAGAACTAACATCAACATGCAAGCCAGGAGAAGAGGAAACCTTACTTGATTTAGGGAAGCGGCGAAGGTTGATGACAGTTTGGCAACGGTGGCGGTGATGCTCTGCAACTTGGACGAAAATTAGAGAGAAGAAGAAAGAAAACTTTTCAAATGTTCCTCCACTCTTCCTATTTATAAGCCAACTCCAGTGCACAAGCAAGCGTGTCACCATTTGGCTCAAAATTTCCCATATTCATAGGCCACCATTACACCTTTAATAGTTGTGACACATGGCTCGAGGGGACAAAGATTTGTCTCTTCAAGTCCCATCAATCTTCTGGATTCCAAGACGTCGAGTACCTCTTGTCGAACACAAACAACAAACTTTCGCATTCCCTCACGAGCACGACCTTAGAGAAAAACTTGAAGCAAATCTACGAGCAACATGATAACTCGCGAGCAAATCCAAACACTCAACACGAGCGCAAGCTAACCTTTTGACTGCGATCCCCACATAACGTGTCTTCCTCATAAGCAAAATCCAATGAGTTACGAGCAAAATATCGTCCTCGTGTGCACAAACTCACAAACAAGAGACATCCATGGCGAGCACCGTCTACGATAACGTGGGCTCGCAATCGCGGGCCCGAATGAGGCTCGCTTAGAGTCTCTTGATCCTCCTCGACATACAAACTGACTAACAGAGACCATTAGCCAAGCGCTGAGGGATCACTATAAAAACCCTCCTCTGTAGGAGGGTCAGGTATTCTATTCTTCCATCCTTTCTTACTTACCTCTTCACCCAAACTGACTTAAGCATCAGAGTGCTTGTATGTACAACTCCCTAATTGGTCGTTCTAGACTACGGACGTATTGTTGATCACTCACCTACTCTAATTAATAAGTAAGATCACTTTTTGACATGTCTTTCATTATTATACACACATTGCAGTTTTTTGCTACTATAAATCACATATATACTTCTTTTACTTATTTTGATTCTTTACCCTTGAATATTAGGAAATATTATGCAAAAAAAAAAAATAGGTTAAGTTATTTTTTTTTAGATTCAAATCTTATTGAGTAGAGTTTGCCTTAGTCCCTCACTCTCTTTTGTATAACAATCTTCTTGTTAATATATTTTGATTTTATATAAAAAAAACTCCTTGGATAAATCTTCGCTCTCTGTTCCAATATTCGACGAGAATATGTAAATGATCCTAAACTCGTCTTAAATAGATTCAAATATCCACCTCACCTTACTCTTCCAGTAAAATCAAATTTTTAATATAATTAATTTATTTTCTCAAATCTAAAATCAGCCCAGAACCTATCTATACTCTATAGAGCTGTCAAATGAACTAGTTCATATGGCTTAACCCGTCTCGTCCAAAAAATTATAAGAATTGAACTTTCAAATTAGAATTATATTTTTAAGAGTTTTTTTAGTCCTGTTCTAAAAAGTTCATTATCTATTAGAGCTAGTTTATATGAACCGCAGATAATTTATTAGGCCCGCATTGTTATAAAATTTTAAAAAAATATTAATTCTTATATTATATTACTCTAAAATAATACATTAATTTTTCTCACTTTACTAAATTTTGTTTCTATTCTATTCAATCATTCTCTTTTAAATATTATATATAATATAATTAACACTCTTTTTTCGTATTCTATTAGTTTCTCTTATATTAAATATTTTGAGTATTATTTTTTACAATTAAACATGTATTATATTTGAAAACACATTATAATATTTATAAAAGATAATATAATACTTAAAAAATATATTATATTTAGAATAATATAATTTTTTATTTTATTTATAGTCAACATTATAGATATTTTATTTTATTTTTTTATTAAAAAAATCCATTTAGAGTTAGATAGCTCGAAACCATCTAAGACCGAACTCGAATAATAATTTTAAAGTTTATATTATAATATAATTTTTTTTTGGCTCAACTGTAAAAGACCTAGATCCATGAGAGCTGATCTTAAATAGATCGGATAGTCAATTTTAACAACTCTACTAATAAACATCAATATACATTACAAATAATAAAGAAAAACAATCTTAAAAATTTTTCAAACAAACATTTCAAATAATAAAATACAAACCAAAATATCAAAAGATCGATCATACAACTAATAATCTAAAATTCAATTGTTATTCAAACAATTTTTTTCTTTCTAATAACTTAATATAAGAATTTCATCATTTAAAAGATAAATAAATAGCCTCTTATAAAATTAAAAGTGACTTAATTTTTGTTGTAACAAATATGCCAATAAGGGACAGAAAATTCCAAAGCGTTGAAGATTATACACGACACTACCATTACCAACTCTACACTCCCAATTTCAAGATTCAGATCATAATAATGATAATAATAATTACAATTATTATTAATTGTTCAACTCATAGTTCATTGAATTCAATTTAATACAATAAATTTTTCTTCTCCTTCTTCTGTCATCCATAATTTATCTTTTACAAAACCCCCAAATTTTGACTCAACAAAACACCAACTTCTTATGCATGTCGATGTAAATCAAACAAGTAAAATTCCGATCTTTGAAGCGACACCCATTTTGCATCTAGCTTTGAAATCGAGCTACAATGAAGAAAGTTTTGATTTTGATGTTGTTAATGATGTTGGGTATTGATGTTACAAAAGGGGCAAAGAAGGTGTCTTGGAGGGTGCATACACTGTTTTCTGTTGAATGTCAGAATTACTTTGATTGGCAAACGGTTGGGTTGATGAATAGTTATAGGAAAGCTAAACAACCTGGGCCTATTACTCGTCTTTTGAGTTGTACTGATGAGGAGAAGAAGAATTATAAAGGGATGCATTTGGCTCCTACTTTTGAGGTTCCTTCTATGAGTAGACATCCCAAAACTGGTGATTGGTAAGATATACTAATATTGAATTACTAATGCTAATCTATCTAGCACTCATAGTTTACATGGAAAGTGTGTATGGTGTTTGACATGTGTCGGTTATCTTCAGGATGTTTTATAGGTACAGAACCTAGTTATCAGTGTCGTGTCTCCTGCCTGGTGTATGTGTTGGTGTTTCATAGATGTTAATGCTAGTACTAATGATAATTTTTGTTATTAGTGTTGAAAGTGAATGTTTTGGAATTTGGATTATGAAGTGTAGATTGGTTTGTGTGGTTAATCGTGAAGTGATGTTAATGTGGTTGACTTTTTGTCTTAATCACTCTTTCCTAGGGACCTTGGTAAGTAAACTCTGACGATCATAAGTATTTGACTATTGTTTCAGCCAAAATTCGAGTTCCGGGTTTCTCTGATCGGTCTGATTCTGATCTTAAATGAAGTTCATTAATCATTAATGTGGTTGACTTTGGTGGTTTATTTTAATTATTCTTGAAGTTTGCTAGATGTGTTTTTGTTTGTGTGTATTATTTATAGTAGCAGCTATTGTTGTTCTTCCTAGGCATGCTTGGGGTCAGTGTTTGTTATTTCTTGAAACTATATGTGCAAATGTTGTTGGGTTTCTGTGGTAGTGATGAAAGTATTTATGCGATATTTGATCTAGATTTGTGTGATTCAATTGTTAAGTAAGGAGTATAATGTAAATAGGGTAATTATGCGCTGGTTCTATGTAATTAAGATAAATAGGGTAGCTCTGAGTAATGTAGTCAAGCACGAGATTTTAAGTAGGATCGGTCAAACTCGGACCGTTAGCACAACACGTAAGATCCTACCGAAGGGAAAAAGGGTAATTTCATGCTTTTATATACACACATGCATACACAAACATGAAAAATCATAATACAGGCCCAAAAAAAGACCAGACACGTTTCTTTTTACGATCTTGCTTCAAAAAGTTCAATCTTAACCACGCTGGCGACATAAACGATCTTTCTCTCATCGTACTACTCTCAGGAATCCTTACCACGATCTTACGATCCAACACTCAATTTTGACTACACTGGCAGCTCTGAGTCCTAGTATTTAAATAATGACTCTTTTATATATAGAATGTTTTTCCCAAGATCCTAAAATGAGAGAATTTTCTGTCATCTATGCAGGTACCCTGCAATAAACAAACCTGCTGGGGTAGTACACTGGCTTAAACATAGTCAAGATGCAATAAATGTTGATTGGGTTCTCATTCTAGACGCCGACATGATTATCCGTGGCCCAATTTTACCTTGGGAACTTGGCGCCGAGAAAGGAAAACCTGTTGCCGCATATTATGGGTATTCAATCATTTTTGTTTTATATTGACTTTGTGCGTGCGCACGTGATGTTTAGTATTTCATTTTCTAGTTCATGATTGAAACTTGTTATATACGGAAAAAACTTCTCCAGGTACTTAAAAGGTTGTGACAATATTTTGGCTAAACTGCACACCAAAAACCCGGAGCTGTGCGACAAAGTTGGCGGACTTTTGGCTTATCATATAAGCGACCTGCGCAAATTCGCTCCCTTGTGGCTTTCCAAAACGGAAGAAGTACGGGAAGATAAGGAACACTGGGCAACAAACATAACTGGAGACATTTATGGGAAAGGATGGATCAGTGAGATGTATGGATACTCTTTTGGTGCTGCAGAAGTGAGTAAAATACCGTAAATTATCACTTCCGTTATTGTGATTGACTATTCAGCTTCCACTAATTGTTTTTTGTGTTTTCTTTTTCTTTCTGTCTTCTCCTTTGGGTTCTTCTCTCTTGTTTGCAGATAGGACTTCGGCACAAGATCAATGATAACTTGATGCTCTACCCGGGTTATGTTCCTCAAGAGGGAATTGAACCGGTTCTTCTTCACTACGGGCTTCCATTTAGTGTCGGGAATTGGTCATTTAATAAACTGGCTCACCATAATGATGGAATCGTTTATCAATGTAACCGGCTCTTTCCTGAGCCTCCTTATCCGAAAGAGGTATGCAAGCCAAGTATACTCATAGCACGAAACCTCGTGTGTTAAGAATTTTTTTTCCACATGGTTTACTTGTCTTGTAGAAGAAAATTCCGTGTTATATTTGTAATTTGCTAACGCTCCGTTTATCGTAAGCTATGAAGCACGGAGATCTGAAACACGACACCGACACGTTGACATTGGTAATAGTTTGAAAAAATGAATAAATTAATCGTAATCACAAGTGGCGGTGTCGGTTTCGGACACCGACACTGAACGGACACACTTTTTTTCACAAGTGTCGGTCGGTACTACAGAGGTTGTAAGTGTCGGTCGGTGCTACATATGGCATCATGATTTTCTAAGTTTTTCTAATATTAGAAAGCATTTTATTGCAGTTATTACAGTTGGAACTCGACGCCAACCGAAGGCGAGGACTATTTATAAGCATAGAGTGCATAAACACGATAAACGAAGGTCTTGTATTACTGCACGCAGCAAACGGTTGCCCTAAGCCAGCATGGTCGAAATACTTGAGCTTTTTAAAAAGCAAATCTTTTGCCGAACTAACTAAGCCAAAATATGTTACTCCTGCTACTTTAAAAATGATGGATGAAGAAATCGTCAAAGCACCCGTTGATAATGATGATGGAAAGCCGCATCCCAAAATCCATACACTTTTTTCCACGGAATGCACGACGTACTTCGATTGGCAAACTGTAGGATTTATGCACAGTTTTCGTTTGAGTGGACAGCCTGGAAATGTAACCAGATTACTTAGCTGCTCCGGCGAGGATTTGATGAAGTATAAAGGCCATGATCTGGCTCCTACTCATTATGTCCCTTCTATGAATCAACATCCATTAACAGGAGATTGGTAATTATTAAGTTCTTTTGAGTAGCTTCTCTTAAAAATCACTTTTGATTTTGATGGATATTTGTTTTAAAGTGATTTTCATTATGGTAAACAAGCTCGAAATAGTTTCTGCTTTTCTTAAAAATATCTAAATACAGTATCTAAATCATTGAATGTCAAAATCATTTTTTTATAATTTGTAACAAACATGTCCTAATGTTTGTAGCAGTATCATTCTTAATAGAAATGTAGAAGGAGTAGAAAGAGAGAAGAGAAAGCTAGTTGCAACTGATTTTGTATTTCTCAAAGTTAGTTACATCTCAAGATAGGATTGAGTTTATATAGTGAGGTTATGCAGTCTAAACTTAACAGTTTAGCTGCTTATAAATGTATTCCTTAGTCTATCTCTACTGTTCTATATTTTTATTACTCTAATATCTTCCCCTCAAGATGAAGGTCCTGTTTGTAGCAGGGACACTTTATCATGAACCTGAAACTTAGATCTGAGTTGCAGGAACCTTTGAGGAGAAAGAGATTTTGTGAGCAGATCTGCATACTGGTCAAAGGCAGGAACATGCCGAACCAGTAAAGTCTTGTTTAAGACTTTTTCCCTAAGGAAAAATATGTCTAGCTCCATATGCTTGGTTTTGGCATGAAGAATAGGATTATGTGACAGGGCAATTGTGCTCAAGTTGTCACAAAACATCACAGGGGTAGTAAAAGGAACCTGAAGATCAGTTAAGAGGGATTGAATCCAAGTATTTCTGAAGCTGAGTTAGCAAGAGCTCTATACTCAGCTTCAGTACTTGATCTGGCAACAAGGGTTTGCTTTTTGGACCACCAAGAGACCAGATTTGGGCCAAGAAAAATGTAGGAACCAGAGGTGGATCTCCTGTCATCAGGATCAGATCCCCAATCTGAATCAGAAAACCCTTTAAATGAGACAGGTGCCTAAGTAGAAGTAGGTTGCAGCAGGAGTCCATGATGCAGAGTCCCCTTTAAATACCTGAGAATTCTCTTCACAGTTGTCCAATGACTTTCCAAGGAATTGGAAAGAAATTGACAAGCTTCATTCACAGCAAAGCTAATCTCAGGCCTTGTGAGAGTGGCATACTGCAAGGCTCCAACAATAGACCTATAGAAAGTAGGGTCTTGAAGTACATATGTCCCATGTTTTGACAGTTTGAGACTAGTAATCATATGAGTAGGCAGCCTTCTGGATTCAGCCATATTTGCCTTGGAGAGCGAGTCCTTGATATACTTTGCTTGAGAGAGAAACAAAGAGCCATTAGCATGATGAATGGCTTCAATGCTCAGAAAATACTCAAGTGTGCCAAGCTGCTTTAGGGCAAATTGAGAGTTGAGCTTTTGAATGAGCTGCTGAATGTGAAGTTAGGAGTTGCCAGTGACAATAATGTCATCTACATAGACTAGCATGTAGATAGTGTAGGTGGGAGTAATGAGTGTAAATAGAGAGGGATCACACCTGCTTGAAGTAAAACCAAATGCCTTTAGAGTAAGGTGTAACCTATCAAACCAAGCCCTAGGAGCCTGTTTAAGCCCATAAAGAGCTTTGTTGAGCCTGCAGACCATGGTAGGAGCATCAGTTTTAATGCCAGGGGGTTGCTCTATGTACACTTCCTCTTGGAGAATGCCAATTAAGAAGGCATTGTTAACATCCAACTGAGTAAGGCAGGGGGTTGCTCCATGTACACTTCCTCTTGGAGAATGCCATTTAAGAAGGCATTGTTAACATCCAATTGAGTAAGGCACCACCCTTTTGATATAGCAATAGTCAACACAACTCTCACTGTGACACGTTCCACAACAGGTGAAAAAGTCTCAGTGAAGTCAAAACCATGCTGCTGATGAAATCCCTTGGCTACTAAACGAGTTTTGTATTTATTAACAGTCCCATCAGGATTTTGCTTGATCCTGAACACCCATTTGCTGCCAATGACCTGCCTGTCTGGAGGTAGAGTAGTAAGATCCCAAGTGTGATTTTTGAGGAGAGCATTGTATTCTTCTTGCATAGCAGCCACCCATTTGGGATCCTTGAGAGCAATTTCATAGGAGGAAGGTTCAAGCTCAGTCAGAAGCAAGGTCGGATGCTGTCTTGGTTGGACTATACCATTTTTACCCCTGGTTGTCATGGCATGAGTATTTTGAGGGTGAATAACAGGAAGAGCAGGGTGAGAAGTGGCAGGAGAGAGTGCTGATGAGCTGGGAGAGGCAGATTCACAGGTTTGGACAGGACTAGGAATAAATGAATGGGAAGAAGAGTATGGTGAGGCAGGGACAGATGATGAACTGGATGAAATAGGGATGGCATGAGAGGTACAGGATTTGGTAACTTAGGAGAAGTAAGCCCAAGAGGAAAAGGAGAGGCAGTAGTGCTGGGAACAGAAGTGTTAGAAGAGGCTGCAGAAGAAGCAAACAAGGAAGTATAGGGAAACCCTGCCTCATTAAAAATGACATTCTTAGAGATGTAGATTCTGCCAGTGGGAGCCAAACACTTGTATCCCTTATGATTGGAGGAATATCCCAAAAAAATGCACTCGTGAGAGTGAAAGTTGAACTTGTGAGCAGAGTAAGGTCTGAGGTGTGGAAAGCATGCACAGCCAAATGCTTTTAAAGACTTATAGTCATGGACAGTTTTGTAGAGCATGAAATAAGGAGATTTCATCTCTAACAGGGGGGTAGGCATTCTGTTAATTAGATAGGCTACAGTCAAGCAAGCATGATCCCAGAACTTAAGAGGGTGGTTTGCTTGAGCAAGCAAGGTAGCCCTGTTTCCACTACATGCCTATGCTTCCTTTCAACTGAACCATTCTGATGGCGGAACAGGCAAGCCTATGAGCAATGCCTTTGGAGTGAAATAGGGAGGTGAGTGACTTAAACTCCTCTCCACCATCATTCTGAACTGCCTTTAAATGAGTTGAGAACTGAACTTCAATGGGTGTGATAAAGTGTGTGAGTGTGAGCAGCACTTCAGATTTTAACTTGATAGGAAACACCCAAGTGTATTTAGAATAAGCATCAACACAAGTAAGCAAATATTTATAGCCACCTACTGGAATCCATAGGAGCTGGGCCCCATACATCAACAAACAGCAAATCAAAAGGTCTATTGTGATTTGTGTGTGAAAGTGTACTAGGCGATCTGTGTATTTTTCTCAAGCAGCAAGGAGTACAAAAATCCAGGGGAGACTTATGAGGCACAGGAATATTGCATAGTTGCAGGATTGACTTTAATGCTTCATAGTAAGGGTGACCAAGCCTGTTGTGCCACATAGTGTAGGCTGAAGAACTGGACATGGTGGGCTGCGCAGATGCCTTGGACACATTATTGATAGAAGCAGAAGACTTTGAAGTAGACTTGGAAACTGGTTGTAGTGAACCAAAAGTGTACAAGCCATCTTTATTGAGAAACACTTGGAGCACAATGCTGGAATCACCCTGTGTTTTGACAAAGCACCTATTAGAATGAAATTCAAAAAAGATATTGTTGTCCTTAGCAAATTGACTCACAGACATCAAGTTTTTGGTAATATGAGGAACAAGCAAAAGACTTCTGAGAGTGAGAGGTGTGTGTGCTTTGCAAGGTGAATTGAAATAGGCAGTGCCAATGGAAGTAATGGGCAAACCTTGGCCATTACCAAGTAAAACTTGGTCAGTACCAGGTAGAGCTACACTCTCAGACAGATAATCAGCATTATTAGTTACATGATATGTAGCACTTGAATCTGGATACCAGGGTGGAGCCTGCTGTGTGAAATTAGTTGGTGCTAGAAAGCCTGTCCCAGTGAAGTGAGCCTGTGGCTGATACACGGAATTTGGAGCAAAGCCAGGAGGAGGACCTTTGAGAGCTCGAGAAAGCCGTTGATTCTGCACAGGAGTTTGAGCAGGAGGAGCAGGAAACCATTGATTGTAGCCACCTGGTGCAGTAGGCTGAGATATAGCAGGGTTAAGCCATTGATTCCATGCTGGTCTTTGTGCTGTAGGCATCAATGCAGTGTGTCTATGATAGCAAATACTGGAATCATGCCCTGGCTTTGCACAGATTTGACAGTAGACTCTGTTTCTGCCACCATTTCTGCCACCTCTGCCACGATTATGCCTTCCACCACGAAAACCTCCACGATTTTCACCATAAGAGGGAGTTTTAGAGTACTGCATCACATTGGTGGAATCAAGAGCGCCTTGAGGAACGATGTTGACCACACCAGCAGGTGTAGCTTGAGCTATATTGACAGAAAGAGGCTCCGATAGAGTGGCTTTCTTTGATTTTTCCAGCTTTGCTTCATGAGCAAGAAGCATTGACTCTGCCTCAATAATAGGACACAAGATTGCACGATACTGGATAATAGAGGCTAGGGCATTATATTCCTCTGGCAATCCATCAAGAATTGCTTCAAGTTGATCTCTATGCGAAATAGGATCATCAATCAATTCAAGAATATCAACAATCCTTTGAATGCGAGTGAGATAAGCAGAGATGGATTTATCACCTTTGGTTATGGACTTCAGCTCCGAACGAAGTTGTCTCGATTTCGCGTTCGTGTGAGCGAAGATATATTGGTAAATTTCGTCCTAGATCTGGTGAGAATGGACGCATCGGATCACGCGAGGAAGCAAAACATTGGATAACGTGGTGAGAAGCCACGTAAACAACAGCGAATCTTGCTGCTCCCAAACGAGAAACTCAGGGTTCTCCTTATTGGCGACACGATCATGATCGGAGAGGTATCGCGGTGGAATAACCGGATTTACCAGCAAACGGTGAAGACGATGCGTTTGAATGATTCCTTCGATCTGTTGCTTCCACGATCTGAAGTTGTTTTCATCAAGTTTCAGTGTTACATGTTGCGTAAACGTTTTGAACACGTTTTTCAGGTTGAAAATGGACGATACACCGTCGCGAACCACCGTGCCGTGGACAGTGTTGTCAGAGCTATCGCTATCAGAAGCCATTGAAATGGATCAAGAAGCTCTCAATACCATAACAGGAATGTAGAAGGAGTAGAAAGAGAGAAGAGAAAGTTAGTTGCAACTGATTTTGTATTTCTCAAAGTTAGTTACATCTCAAGATAGGATAGGATTGAGTTTATATAGTGAGGTTATGCAGTCTAAACTTAAGAGTTTAGCTTCTTACAAATGTATTCCTTAGTCTATCTCTACTATGCTATATTTGTATTACTCTAATAATTCTATTATAGATATTTAATGCCAATTTTGAAAAAGATATAAACTGATAGTTATTCTGTTTCATTTTAGGTATCCAGCAATTAATAAACCAGCTGCAGTTCTTCATTGGCTTAATCACGTAAAAATCGATGCTGAATACATAGTGATTCTTGATGCTGATATGATCCTGAGAGGCCCAATCACACCGTGGGAATTCAAAGCTTCCCGTGGCCATCCTGTTTCAACTCCTTACGAGTAAGCCTCGAGTGACTTGATTTATGTTTATGAGACCTGCTAATGTTGATTTAAACTAGGGGTGGCAAAACGGTGTCCGCTGGACATGCCCGTTTTGCCCACATTTTTTCGTGGGGCGGACTAATGTTTTAGGCCTGCAACTTCTAATATGTCCGCCTGCCCTGCCATCATTTTTTCGCAGGGCGGACCAAGCTTTTAAGCCCTCTTCCTCAACTGTGACCACCCGCACCGTTTTTTTCAGGCTACTGAGGGGCGGGCAATGGCCGTTTGCCACCCCTAATTTAAACTGATGTTAGGTAGAGGCAGTAGCGGCGCTATAGTGTTACGTGGCAGAATTTGAAAAAATCGCTTTTGTTCCGCGATACACTATTTTTTGTTAAATGTTGTCAAATATTGACTACAGCAGCTATATAGCACTGTTGCTTAGCGGAATTTCGTGATTGGCAACACTGATTTAAACGCAGTGTTGATGACTGCAGTTTTCATAGTTGCAAACATATAGGTCACTTTTTTTATGTCTGTTTTATCGTTTTATTTTTTCGATTTGATGACTAACCTGTTTTTCAATGATCTTACGTGCCAGCTACCTTATTGGCTGTGACAACGAACTTGCAAAATTACATACTAGCCATCCCGAGGCTTGCGACAAAGTTGGTGGTGTGATCATTATGCATATAGATGATCTCCGGAAATTCGCGATGCTATGGCTGCATAAAACTGAGGAGGTTCGAGCTGATAGAGCTCATTATGCAAGAAATATAACAGGAGACATATATGAATCCGGGTGGATCAGTGAGATGTATGGTTACTCATTTGGTGCGGCCGAGGTATTTTTGTTTTTACATTCTTATCACAACGCATACTCGAAATATGAAAAAAAGTCATTGCAATAACGAGTGATGTTATTGATTTGACGCAGTTGAAACTAAAGCATACTATAAGCAGTGAGATACTGATATACCCAGGATACGTTCCCGCACTGAACGTTAAATATCGAGTTTTTCATTATGGATTGCGATTCAGTGTTGGGAACTGGAGTTTCGACAAAGCAGAATGGCGAGAGGTTGACATGGTCAACAGATGCTGGGCCAAATTCCCAGATCCACCAGATCCCTCGACTCTCGATCAATCTAATCCAGAGAATCTACGACGAGACATGCTCAGCATAGAATGTGGAAAAACCCTTAACGAAGCACTTGAAATTCATCACAAGAAGAAGTGTCCTACTGCTGATTCCTTATTGACAACAAAAGGCGACGAGAAAACAGAAGAAAGTGAAACTTCAAGTGAAATCGGCAACACCGATACAAGTATTGTTTCAAAAACTAATCAAGTCACCTCGACAAACCATTCAGAGGAATTAGCGAGTGTTCAGAAAGACGAGATTCCAAGTTCTTTCAGGTTTTGGGTGGTGTTCTTATGGGCGTTTTCTGGATTTGGTTTCTTGGTTGTCGTTTATGTTGTGTGTTCGGGTCATAGAAGAGGGCGAACAAGGATGAAACATCATAATAGAAGGAGAAGAAGCTCGAATTCAGGATTCATGGATATCAATGGACGCGATCGGCATGGCCGTGATGTTGATTTATAAACAATGTGCTGCTCATTTTTTCGTTCTCGTGGCATAAAGCGAGTTGGTTTGGATTTTGAGAGTGCTGTGTAAGGATCACAAGGTTAGAGGTTAGAGAGCATGTTTCTTGAGGGAGTGAGTATGTGTGTGACATCATTCTACAAAGCAAGTAATTTTGAGAGTTCTTGATTTAGAAATTTGTAAAGGGAATATATGTATCTTGTTTTTCTTTATTTTGAAAGTGTTTGTATTATTTTGTACCAAAGAATCATAACGTCTTAGCAATGTAGAACAAGAAGCTGACACCTACAAGTTCAAACTGAACTTTTTTTTCTTTCATAAGAAGACAGACGAAAACGAAGCCAATTGTAATTCTAGCATTCGAATTTTGGTGTAAGCATCCAATCTACCAATATTGTCCTTTGTCCGTTGAGTTAGGATTTGCGTACATGTATTTTCTTACAACATAACAGTTAAATGTGTTTTCTTCAAACAGATAAATATTGTATACATGTGTCACTCGGTGATAAGAGTTCAAAGAATAAAATTCATATCTTTCAAGCTTGTGTTTGGTTACAAATGAGAGAATTAGTTTTAAGTGAATTGATTTTATACGTGTTGGTGTTGGTTATTCAGTGAAGAAAATTAATTTTGAGCTTTTTCATTTTTTAATTAAGTAGTCGTGAGTGTAATCTAAGTCTTTAGGTTATGTTAGGATATCGTATAAAACTTATAGAGCAGAATTGAATAGAATAGAGGGGAACAGAGTGAACGAAACAAATCAGAATAAAAATGTCATTATACTGGTTGAATATTACATGATGAAATAGATTGATTTTCTCATTCAATCCGATTAATTTTCTCATTCTATCTGAATAAGAGGATTTAAAAAAAAAAGAAAGAAACTGATGAAATGCACTCCATCATACACAGTTTCATTCCATCATTTTTCAATTAATTCAAATCATGGAACATAAGTTCCGTTTCATTCCATCATTTCTTAACTAATTCAAATTATGGAACATAAGTTTATTCCATTTTGTTCCATCAATTTAAACAAAGTTTTAAAAATAAATATTAGAGCTGTCGTGAGTTCGAATCTGTGTCTCTGTATCTAATATCTCTGTACAACTATCAATTCAGCTAATTTAATGAGAATTAATGGTTCGAAGTCGTGTCTTTATATCTAAAATCTCTGTACAACTATCAATTCAGCTAATTTAGTGAGAATTAATGGTTCGCAGTCGTGTCTTTATATCTAATATCTCTGCACAACTATCCACTCAGGTAACATAGTTGATGACTCTGTTTTTCCCACCTCTCGTGACAGCACCAACCGCGCGACCAGGCTGTTAAACTCCGATAAAGCGCCGCCGTCCAGCTTCTTCAGAGAACACAAATCCATTGTACTTCTCTATATCTATCTATCTCCCTCTTCCTTATGGGAAGGTAACTCACATACCCATTCATTTCTGCATTCTTGTTATAACTCCAATTTCGCTGGTAAAAATTCAATGGTATAAAATTTTGTTAATGCCAAACTAATTTCTATGCTGGACTTGTTTCTGATGATGCTGTTGATGTGTGTTAGTCTTTTGGCATAGGCTTGAGTTTTGCATACAAGGTGTTTGTTGAAATGCCACAAAGAGTTTGCTTATGTTGATTTTGAGTATAACTCGTTTACAATTGTTGTAACATGTTTGTAAATAGATATTGTTTGTTGAGAATGCATTATTTCTTGTTTGGTTGAGTAAAAGTTCATCTTAAGTTTTGAGTCAAGGTGCTTTGAGGATTGGTTTATTATTCATTTAGATGTGTATGTAACATTTGCTCAATTTTTAGTTTGTGGAAGTTTATCCGTTAGTAGAATGGATTTGGAAAATTGTCAGGTTAGTAAATGTGATGACAAATTATGGGGTTTGATGATGCTATAGAGATTAGTAACTAGTTCGGATCCGTTGGCCCAAGATCCTGAGTATAGAATAAAGTAGCTCCAGAAGATGCCACTCGATATTTTTCTGTTATTTCTTCTTTTTTGTGTTTGAAGTTGTGAGTCACCACTGTCATTTCCTTTACTTTGTGCTGTATTAATGGCTTATGTTATTTTTACTTATGACTATGTTTTATTTTCCATCAATAATTATTGTACTTTGGTGCGCTTCAAGTTTGCAAGAAATTGTAGTTAATGACTAGTTAATTAGTTTTGATTATTTCCTCTGGAACATTTTGTAAAACATTATCTTAGCCTTTTGTGCAGATTAGAAGAAAGTACCAACCCAAAGACAGCTGACTTAAAGAAACTTACATAATACAAAAGTATTTTCAAGCAAACTTCAAGGAAATGAAACAAGTTTATATGCTCAGAATAAGGGTACTGGTTAGGAAATGGTCTCTTAGTGGGTTACCGTGATATAACAGAAGAATAACTTGTTATTTTAATGGATGGTTGAGATTTGTGACCTGCTTCATGGAAAACTGATCTGGTTGGTATTTAATTCTTTGTGCAAAACTTGTTCATCAATAACCTTCAACTGAATTATGGATGTTGTTTACCATTTGAAACCTGCTGTTGGGGTTTCTTTGACTGTGAATCATGCAAAAAGCAGCATAAGCTTATATACATGCCAGAGGTGAGACAGTATTGGACTAAAAAGAGAAATATGTCTCCTTCTCACAAAGCTCTGGTTTTGATTCAGAAGATGGTGAAAGTTCCTCCAGAAAAAGCATTCTCATTCTTCATTTCCTCAACATGTCAAAGCTTTCAACACACCTCCCAATCCGTGTCGTTCATCTTAAATCATCTTCTCTCCTCTGGCATGCAAACCCAAGTTCAATCTGTACTTGTGCGCATAATTTCAGGTCAAATCTCGTCGTCTATGTTCTCCACCTCTGCACTTATGGACCAACTAACACAAACCCATTTCACTTCTAGTTCAACCTGTCGTCTTCTCTATGAATCAATTGTTAATGCTTATGTTCATTCCCAGTCTCCTGATGAAGCCCTCCATTTCTTGCACCAGATGATTCACGTGGGCCATGCTCCTATATCAAACACATTCAACAATCTTTTGAACTTACTTATCAGATCAAATTGTTTTGGCAAAGCATGGTTAGTTTTCAACGAGTTAAAGAACAAGGTTGTTCTAGATGTTTACAGTTTCGGGATCATGATCAAGGGTTGTTGCGAAGCTGGTGACCTGATGAAAAGTTTTCAGCTTCTTGCTATGGTGGAAGAAATGGGTTTGTCTCCTAATGTTGTCATATACACTACATTAATTGATGGTTGTTGCAAGAACGGTGATGTCCATTTAGCAAAGAAGTTGTTTTGCAAGATGGAACGATTAAATTTAGTCGCCAATCAGCATACTTACAGCGTATTAATAAATGGGTTTTTCAAACAAGGCCTTCAAAACGAAGGATTTCAAATGTATGAAAACATGAAGCAAAGTGGAATTGTGCCTAATGTTTATACTTACAGTTGCGTGATTGGTGAATATTGCAATGACGGGAATATAGATAAAGCTTTTAATTTGTTTGAAGAAATGCGTGAGAAAGGTATAGCATGTAGTATTATGACATACAACCTTCTGATAAACGGGTTGTGTCAAACGAAGAAGCTTGGAGAAGCGGTAAAGTTGGTTTATCGTGTAAGCCGGATTGGCCTAAGACCAAACATATATACATATAACACATTGATCAAAGGTTATTGTGATGTTGGAAAGATCGACACTGCTGTTAGATTATATAATGAATTGAAGTCAAACGGACTATCACCAACAGTTGTGACATATAATACTCTGATCGCAGGATACTCAAAAGTTGGAAATTTAGTCGGAGCTCTTAACGTGGTCAAGGAAATGGAAGAGAGAAACATTCCTCCTACCAAAGTGACATACACAATTCTACTTAATGGGTTTGTGAGAATAAATTATATGGAAAAAGCATTTGAGATACATTCCTTAATGGAGAAATCTGGTTTGGTTTCAGATGTTTACACATATGGTGTACTAATACATGGGTTGTGCAGGAATGGTAGCATGAAAGAAGCATCTAAACTGTTTAAATCATTGGATGAAATAAAGTTGGAACCAAGTAGTGTGATATATGATATAATGATTCATGGTTATTGCAAAGAAGGAAGCTCTTACAGGGCTCTTAGGTTACTCAAAGAAATGATTGGCAAAGGAATGGTCCCAAATGTGGCAAGTTTTTGTTCAACCATAGGTCTTCTTTGCAAGGATGAAAAATTGAAGGAAGCTGAGATTGTTTTACAACATATGGTAAATTTGGGACTAAAGCCATCGATTTCTTTGCACAATATGGTTCACAAAGACAAAAGTGATGCTTTGGATGTTGATCTTGAAAGTGTAATATAATTTGTAATTCGTAGTCATTAATTCATATAAACCTGTTTTTGTTTTTCTATTCACAAGAGCTTTGAATTTATTAGAATGTCTTGAAAGTAAAACCTGTGAACTATGGTTGAACAAAACCACTTCTGATTTAACAGAATCACGGTTACTCCTTCTGATCTTATAAAAAAAATATACCTTAAAATTTCAACCCAAAAAAAGATAATTATAAAGCACAACAAAGTATTAGGTAGCTAATCAACATTTAACATGTGCATACCTTTCTTATTATGTGCATACCTTTCTTATTATTTTCATTTTTACTCCTATTAATAGAAATATTAATTCTACTAAAAAAACTTCTTCCATGGTGTTCAACAAGAACAAACATTGATTTAAATTAATGGTTCAATTAATTCAAACAAGCCAACATAACAAATCAACAACATAAAGTTAGAAGATTTTTTTGAACACTTTTCACAATGTGGGCTCAAACCAATATTTAAAAAATGATAAATGTTAACGTAAGTACATGTTAATGGCTGAAAATAATAAAATTTGTTAAAAGAATTCTATAATCAATTTTGTAAAAATTTTAAAATTAGTTTTTTCCACACAATTTTTATTTTCAAATTTGCAAACACATTTATAAATGATAACACGACCTCA